AGTCAGACTGGAGTAGGAGGAATTAATGAATAGAGAGGATCTATGGACAACCCTAAATTTGGCTATGAAGTAAGAAGAGGGATTAGAGTGATAGCAGAGGGAAAATTTGGGTAGAGCTGAATGACTTCAACTGCAAAATTCAAATACCTGATGCTAGTTATCTCAGAAGCTGGACTATTTATGTGATTCACATGTAGTTATAATATTTTAGCATTTTTATTTTCTTTTTTTAATTTGTTATATGTGACAGCAAAATGCATTACAAGTCATATTACACATATAAAGCACAATTTTTCATATCTCTGTTTGTACACAAAGTAGAGTCTATTTTAGCATGTTTCAAAGGAATGAATCCTTTATAATTGATCACACTTTTTTATAGGGTTTTAGGAGACACTTTTTTCATTTGTGTAATGTTGTTTTCATCTGTCCCATTTCTGACCAGAGAAGCTCTTTCTGGCCAGTTACTCAGAAAATGCAGTGCAGTATGATAGTTTAGGATAGTTTCAGATGTTATCCATCTGCTGCTGAAAAGTTAAAGAAGAATCATTCCATTAATGCACCAAAGACATAGTTTCTCAAGAGTCCTCAAGCATCAACTATTTATCATTTCTATTAAATATTTATTAAAAACACACTGTGCACCACCACCTATTGTGTTAGAGGTGATGGATGAAAAGGGGAATAAGATATAGCTCTTGACCTCAGGATGTTCATTGGATAAGAGGGAAGGAACACATGTTAACACATACTGCTAGCACATGTGAAATGCCATGAAGAGATATGCACAAGATGCTGCACAGAAGTGGAACTGAAGCACCAGACTGATCAAAGGGGATGTGTGTCTGAGTAGGGGTATGGGAGTGGCCATAGGGCTCAAGCATGTCAGTCATGGAGTGTTTCATGGAGATGGAAACCCTTGAACTGAGTCTTAGATAATATGAACACTTCATATTTTTAAAGAGATTTTTTATATGCCAGGTAGGATGGTAAGCATCTTGTATCTTAACCAGTTTATTATATGCATTCTAGAGATAAAGAAATGGGCAAAAGAGTAGAAGTAATTTTGCCTAGTGACTGTCAGAGTTGTGATTTGAATCCAGTCTTCCAGCAGAGCCTAATTCCTGGATCATCATACTATGTACCATACACCATGAACACCATCATTTGTTACATAATGAGAGATTAAATGGGCTTTCTGTGTGTTGGTGATGGGGGTGGGAAAGGCACATCTCAGGCTTGTAAATCACTTTATCTTACTTTTCTCTGCTTCCTAATCCATTCTGATTACAGGATGCCAAAACAGCTATGCCAGGGTTAAAAAGGGAGAGATAAATATTTTCTACATGCTTAGAATACCAGTAAACAGAGAGTGGCTCATTATAAAATAATCTGCTATTCTGGTACAGATTACCAGTGTAGCACAGAATTAGGATGCATTACAGATTCTGTCCACTCTAAATTGTAGTGTGGATGGGTTGGAGAGTAATTTTACATTTAGATGAATAAATCCATCTTGAGAAAAATGACCCATACAGAAGTAATCTTGACTCCTTCCCTACTGATTTCAAGTTAGGCTCCATCAGACCACCTGGCAGTTCATACTTGGAGTACCAAGGTGATTAATATCACTGTGGGGTATAAAGAATAAATAAACAGAAGATCATAATGTGTTCACCTTGATAGAAGCAAGTAGACATGAAGATTAATCATGACTAGCTTCCTAGTACTCTAAATCAAGGCAGAAAAAAATTATGTCTCCTGAGCTACGGATCTCAGCAACAGCCCTGAGATAAATGGAGGACCAACCTACTTCTCACTCAATGACACATTATCTGATCACTGGAGATAGAAATTGTCTAAAATCACACAGTACAAATTGTATGCATCAGAAAAGCAACAAAACTGCAACCTTACCACTGGACCGTAACTGATAAAGGAGGAACTAGAAGGGATTGGCATCACCAGAGAATTCTCCAGAATTCTAGAGTAAGGGTTTGGAGATTTTCTTTCAATGAAGGAAGAGGCTGCTAAGGAGATAGTAAAAAAAAAAAAAAAAAAAAAAAAAAAAAAGTGGGAGGAAGAAGGCCTCCAGCTGTCCAGTTTACTTTGTAGATTTGCTTCAGATTGTCAAGCTTCTTGCCTTCTTGTAATCACAAAAACAAATTACAAATAAAGAAAAAAAGAGAGAAGTAGAAAAAGAAGAAGGGAGAAGAAAATTATAGTAAATTGCTAAAGGCAAAAAAAGAAGCTTAATTGAAGCAAATCAAAGCATATGATTAATACTAGGAAAGAATTAATAAGAAAATAAAGCAAAATTTTAGCGTACAAATATAAAGTTCAATAAAAATAAGAACTAAGAAATCGAAGAAAAGAAAGACTAAAACCAGTGAGATTCAAACAAGCAAAACATGAAAGTAAGGGATAAAAGATTAAAGATAAAACCAGCATAAATAAAAAAACATAAAAGGACTAGAACCAGTGAGATAAAAAGCTGAAACATGAAAGTTAGAAGGATAAAAGATAAAAGCTAAAACAAGAAAATCCAAGTTAAAAGCAATACTTAAAAGTTGAGCATAAAATTCTTTTAAAGACTGTTTAAATTTTGTTTTCTCCTTAGAACAAAATAGAAAAAAAAATGAGATGGAAAGTAAAGACAAGGAAACAGGATTCCTAAGAAATAAAGCAGAACAAACTAAAATAGAAATAGGGGGAAAAAATAGGTACTCAACATACTCCATGGCAACAAGAAATTCTAAAATATTCTATTGGGATGCTGACTTGTATCACAGAATGTGTTCTTGATGTAACAAGAGAAAAAAGCAATAGGACAAAGAGAGGAAAGAGAAAGAGGAGCACCTAGTAACCGCACTAGGAAATGTATTCTTGGTTCCTGTGCATTCTTAACACCTCTCAGTCTCCATCTGGAGGTGTCTCTGACCTAGAATGGAAAAAATATATATATGATTACTTTCTATTGCTCAGCTCAGCTTGCATGACTGCCTTTAAACCCTAGGCAAAATGCAAAAGATAGAGTCGGTTTTGCTTTTTGATTGGTTTGTCCTTTCAATATCTTCCCACCTTTTAATCTAGCATCCATTCGTTCATTAGCACTTAGTTTGAATTAGTTGAATTTTGCCATTTCCAGGGTATTTTAACAGGATGCCCACTGGAGAGGTGTTTGGGGTAGAGATTCTTCCCTTAAGTCTCAGGCTTTAGCTATTAGCCAGCACCAGCGAGCCTCTTGTTAGAATGTCTTCCCTTTGCTTCCAGCCTCATCCCCCATTTCTCTGCACCCTGCTCTGTTCTGGGAAGTTGACCCACATGGATTGTGTTCTTCAGCTTGTTTATCCTCTTCCTTTTGGTTGCTTTCACCAATGAGCGGCATGAATAGGATATCCGAGAATACAAGGAAAGTGAGCTCAAGATATTTATTTCTGCACTTCCCTTGCTGACATGGATTCCTTTACCTGGCAGCTTCTGCCTGATGGCCTTCTCCTGCAGCTTCTCCCTGTGGATTCCAGGCATGGATAATCTACTCTTTCCCCTTGAGCCTTCGGGTCTGTGGGTATTTATTTGTTCATCTGCTCTCTATCTGTTGCTTGCCCCAGGATGCTTAACTGTCCCTCTGTCCCCTGTTGATTTCTCTTAGCCCTGCCCTTAAGTTTGTAAATTGCCCTTTGATTAACTCCTCAATTTGCTTACATTGAGAGTGCCATCTGTTTCCTGCTGGGACCCTGATTGACACAGTAGGTAAAAGTATGTCACAGGCAAATTTAACTATAGCGTTCTCCACCCTAAAATTCAGCACCCTTGTAACTACCCACAGCTCTGCATAGGTTCCCATTTTGACACAGTTTCAGGGCTTAGGATGCCGTTGCTTTATCTGGAGTGTGTCTGACTTCCTCACTCACCCAAATTTATCTGTACATTGAGCAATTTTTCCAAGACCCAGATCTTTTCAGTATGCATGCTGGTGAGTCGCCACACGCTAATCTCTGAAAGAAAATGTATTTTTCTCTCATCCAGGTAGCAGACTGCCTCCTAATGGTCCTCCATTTACAACATAGGCATGAATTATTTCAAACAAAATTCTTAACTAGCTAGCATCTTTTCCTCCAGGTTTGTGCTCCACCTATCTATTCAAAGCACTATAGCCAGATTAATTTCTCTATAAAGGCATTCTCGTTATGCTACTCACTGATTTTTTAAAAGACTCAATTGCTTCTCATTGTCCACAGGATAAATTCAACCATTTACAATCCACAACTGGCTCTAAGCTGCCTTTCCAGTTTTATCTACTACTAGAGAATAGCATAAGGTGGAGAAGCAGGGTGAGGAGGGATCTCAACATTACATCTGCTTTCCAAAATCATTTTCTCCTTATATTCTTCAAAAATAGAAGAGTAACATCATGTGGCAGAGGTAGACTACTCCATGAGATAGCATTCACAATTTTTCTTTTCTTTTCTTTTCTTTTGGTATTAGGAATAGAACCCATGGGTAGTTTACCACTAAGCCACATCCCCAGCCCTTTTAAAAGTATGTTTTTTTGAGACAGGGTCTCACTAAGTTGCTTAGGGTATTGCTAAGTTGATGAGGCTGGCTTTTAACTTGCAATCCTCCTGCCTCAGCCTCCTGAGTTGAGTCACTAGAATTAGAGATGTTTGCCACCATGGCCTGCCTAATTTTAATTTCTGTCATGAAGAATAGTTGCAAGATCTTCACAGCCATGGGATGTTAGAACTGTGGTATAAGCTTTGCAATTTACCTGATTTCATGTGCTATTGAGTTTGTTTCTATTGCTTTTTAGGCTATTAAAATGCTTTCTGAGATTTTTGTGGCATTAAGTTGTGACACTGTAAGTGGGTTATAACTTAGGGCTCTAAAGTTGTGTGACATATCCCATTTCTCGTTACTGGCAGCCCAGCTCAGGGACCCTGTGAGAATTCTCACTGACTGGATTCATTCACCCTCCAGCATAAGAAATAGGCAAAAGATAGAAAAAGGAAAAATGAATTTTATGTATTTTGATCAAACTGGAGAGAAGTAGCTAGATTGCCTCTCTCATGGGTCCCACCGGAACAGTGAAAGCACGTGGAAACAACAGCATCATCAGGCATCGTTAGGCCAGGACATTGTAGCCCTTCAGCCTTGACTCTCACCATGAAGAAGTCTTCCTCCATTTCAGCCTGTTTCCCTCCTTTTGCACAAAGTCTTGCTTCAGCCAACTTGCACATACCTACCATGTACGTTCTGACTTCCTTCCTTTTCAAGCTCCTGAAATATCTCATATGCTCTCTTTGCTTACCTGAATGCTGCTGGAACATGTCATTTGTCAAATATTTAGTAGCCCTTGCCATTATTATTATCCACCACTCACAGCTCATTTCAAGCTACCTTCTCTGGAGATCTCACTGCTCAATATGTACTTACTATATGACACTTTATGGCACATGTTTTTTTATATAGGTCAGGTTTCCCTGGTTTCATTGTAAGCACCTTTAGAGAACAACCATGTCTACTACTGCTTTGTGCCCCGCATCAGCATACCACCCCAGGCACTGACAGAAAATAGAAGCCCAGTGAATAATTTATAGCTAGCTCTGTCAATAGCAGCTCTAAGAATTCCACCTTCCCAACTTGATGAAAAAGGGATAACTAACTTCATTGTGCTCCTCTTAAGTGTTCAAGAAAAACTTCTCCTGTCCCTAAAAGGAAAGTGTTAGTGATCAACCTTCTACCTGTGATGAGTCAAGAGATGCAGGAAAAGTCTAATCAGTTAATGTTGTGCCTTCCCTGGAATCCCTCTGCTGTGCTGTGCTGCACAGGTTGTAGTCCCATTCTTTCTCCAGCCTTAATCTCCCATCATTTATCTTTTCAGGCTTCCATGTATATCATGTAGGACACAGACTAGGATGCTAGAACAAATAAATCCTGAAATTCAGTAGCTTATGCAGGTATGTGTCCTTCTCTCATATAACAGTCTGGAGGCAGGTGGGTGGTCCAGGATGAGAAAGTAACTACTCCAAAAGGATGTTCCGTGGTTCCTTGTGTCTTCCTTTTACTGTGTCATGCTCCGAACATTTATCCTTGTCCAAGCAATCAAAACCAGATGATAATGTTCAGATTTAGTCACCTGGAGCAAGAGAATAAAAAATGGAGAGCAATCAGTTTCTGTCTACCAGTCTCTGTCACCCCAGGTAAAGTCCCTTTCATAACTAGAAGGGTGAATCAGGCTGTCAGCCATGCAAGGTGTGAACTATGTTTGGGAGTAGAAACTTCAAGCCCAGAATCACGACCTGACTACTACCTGGAAACTTGAAGATTCATGTGTTTGAAGATAGCTGGAAACATGTCCCATGACTGGAATCTCTGTCCTAGCATGTGTGCGAATGAAGCCTAAATAGGAGTTAGCATATAAATATTCTATAATTGAAGGTGATCCAGAGCTGTCACAATCACTTCCTCCAGTCTCTTGGCCATGAACCTAATCAGTATCACATCACCTATGGGCTCAGACCTAATACTCCAAGCCAATGTTACTTCAACAGGGTCTATTTTGTGACTGTCACAGGTGGAGAGGGGTTAATTTCTTGTCATTCTGTGGTAAGAAGCTAGTGATACTGTCCAACATGATAACGAACACCAGAAAGCCATCCACAAAAAAAAAAAAAAAAAAAATTTGTTTAACACAAAATGTAATAGTAGCAAGAGAAATCTTGCTCTAGACAATTCAGTTTCTCCCCAAACTTGTGCAGGGAATCAAGTCCAACTCCTAGCACCATAGTTATTTTACCATTGGTTCTGCATGTTTTACCCATATTTTAGTCTGCTTTTTTCACCATACATTGCTTCAGACCCTCTGTCTAGGCTCTTATTGCTGCTAATAGTCTCAGTAGAGCATGACCATTGACATTGTATAATTGCTCTTTCTTGAGTGAAATAAAATTTTATTATCTTTTAAGTAATATTAAAAGTCATCTTCTATACTAACAAAGAATGAATATGCGCAGTTAGATTAGAAGGGGGAGAATAGCATTGGGAACCAGGTTTTAGATCTTGTATTGCCACTGACTAGCATGATCTTGAACAAGGCATGGTCCTTCTGAGCCTCAGTTTTCCTTCTCAGCAAATGAAGGATTGGACTCATTTAGTCATTAAGTTATTCTTCTTATATCTAGAACATAGTTGCAATAATTATCTTTTCACTTATCTTTCCTTTCTGTTTTTATAGACACATAGTCACACACACACACACACACACACACACACACACACGCGCGCATGCATGTGTGCACGCATTTCCACAAAATAGATAATTCCTTAAGTTTATGTTCCCCAGAATTAAAATGCTCACAGTTGGCAATAAGTTAATAAGCCAACAGATAGCTCTATCCATATCCTTATCTAATTCTTTTTTCTATTTTAAAACTTGCCATTCCTCAACTTACTAGTATGTGTTCAGCCAAGTCTGTGAACCTTTCTGGGATTTAATTTCCACTTGGCAAACAGAGGGAGGTAGTTTCCAAATTCCCTTGCAATTCAGGTATACATAGCCAGAACCTCTTCAGGCCTAACCTGGATCCTCCTAAGCCTTTAATGATTGATGCCACAGAAATAGAGAAACTCTCATAGGTGAAGGCATCATAAATTGGCAGTAGGAAAAATGCTTAGTTTTTATAACTTCAAGAATAGTGATTGACCATGAACAGGTGGGAATTTTAATTTGCAGCCTGTTTTCCTTTTTTACTATATTTCATACCCAAAACTCAAAGAAACAGAATGATAAGTAAAATTTAAGTATAGAAACATCAGAATTGCTTCTCTTCAATTTTCTATTTCCTGTATTATAAAAGTGAGAGAGAAATAAATACATACACACATACAAACACCCCCCCCCACAGTCACTCAGAAATAATTTCATTTTCATCTCAAACTTCACAAAAATGACTATTTAGAATTTGGTAGAAAAAGAGAGAGAGAGAGAGAGAGAGAGAGAGAGAGAGAGAGAGAGAGAGAGAGGAAGAGAAAGGAAGGAAGGGAGGGAGGGAGAGAACTCACCTTTAATTAAAGGATAAGTCATGGGAAGCTTTACACTCAGAATAATAATAATTAGGCAAAGTTTAAGTAATATAAAGTTAGGACTAATGGTGAAAAAACTGTACCATACTTGTGATACTTGTGATGCTAGTGTTGCTGGGTGTGTATTAACAGGTGACATGCAGGTATATTCTGTGGTCCATTGTGGGTAAATATCTGGAACTTTAGAGAGAGTGTAGCTCAGGTGCTATCTTTTCAAGGTCTACCTTTCAGAGAAGCAAATAGTTGCCTCTAAATTCCTGAGTTTCACATCCCAGGGATGCCACTGAGTTGCTTCCAAGTCTATTGCAATTTGCAGGCAGGAAGGAGTCTCTGGCATTCACCCCAGGAGTTGGCAAAACTTTCCTCCACATTCCACCAACTGAATTCAATTCACTTTGCATGATGCAATTGAGGCTGCCACTATAACAATCAACCTAGACAACTGGTTTATTAAACAGAGGGTTAGTTTATTCTCCCAGCCCTGAATATGTTATTGAATTTGTCTTTCCTGTCTTGGAGGACCTCTCAAGTCAGTTCTTAATTTTCTGGTCACTTTCAGTTGCTGTCAAAAATCTCAGTCCATTTTAAAATTCCAATCTGTTCCCATCCACCACACTTCCACCTTGTAGTTCCAGGAATTGCAGTGTGAAAAGAAGGGACAAAATTTGCTCTGTCACTCTGCTTTTATCTCCAAACATTGGGAGGAAGAATATATATTTAGGATGAAAACATCTTGGTACACTAACCAAGTGATTGTTGATGTTTCTCCAACCAACCTGATCTGACTAAATATGTTTCTGTACCCTCACTAAATCATTCCCTGAGGTGAAGATAAAGAGATATCACCAACAACTACCACACACACATACACACTCACCCACACATGGTCTCTGTCCTTGGGAGTCACCAAAGTTTCTTCTGCTGGGTCCACTTGCCCTGCAGGTAGCTCTCTTAGATGGTCCACTTGAGCCACAGAAACCTAATTTACCACATAGGGGAGGACTTGCCTCCCCTCTTTCATTCTGTCCTGTGGAAGCAATCTCACATCCTTCTCCCTTCAGGACCAGAGGCAGGTTCACAAGTCTTAGCCTGACATCACTGGGAATGAGGAATTGTGTTCCCTTCTTGTAGATATTCTCAATCTTATAACCATTTATTCTTTTTGGGGTTTTGTCCTAATATTGGTGAAGAGAAAAACACAAGATTATCTATGTATCCTGACACAGTGACATGATTATCATCCCAGCCATGCTGACCAAGGAGTTCAAGGCCAGCCTGGGCAATGTAGCAAAATGTTATTTCAATAATAATAATAATAACAATAATAATAATAATTTAGAAAGTAAATTGCTCAATTTCCTTCCTTCTTTTATACCTTCTCCCTCCATATTCACTTTTCTTCTTCCTTTCATTCTTTTTTTCTTTGGACTGGGGTGGGAATAGTGGTAGAAACAATAATGACTGCTGTCCCTCAGAATACCCAGATGTAAAAACATTATCTCAACTGATTTCAGATCTCTCCATAATATGAAGTTCTTAGTAGCTCTTTGCCTAGTTATTTACTAATTTTGGAAGAAGGAATTTCCTGAATTTCACTCTTACATCATGAAATCATTTGGCACATGACAGCCTCAGTGACTGAGAAGAGCAGTATATCTACCTACATACAAAATGATAATCTTAAGGGAGAAAGCCAGGTTCAAGAACCCATTGTGCTTCTTAAAACATTGTGGTTTTAGAGACAATTGCTCAACTGGGATTCAATTTCTTCATCTGTAGCATAGGGACAATACCAGTCTTGTGGAATCTTGACTGTGATTTGCAAAAGTGCTCAGTAATAAATATTATTGCTAGATTTACAAATAGCATTGTGACAACTCTGTGCACTGAATTAGTGAAACCTCATCTCTGACCTTAAGGAGAACACAGTCTAATACAGAGACAGACTCATAAAGTAATTACAATGAAATCTGGCCAGTGCAAGGCAAAATGCAGAGTGCTTTAGGAGTTGGGTTGAAAACTAGGATAGCTATGAGACAAGCCAGGAAGGTATCTGTTGCTAAGGAGAGAGGTTGCTGGTGATAGAGGGATTCCTGTCCTAAAGTTATAGGAAGGGCTACACGTGTCAACACCTGACAATGGACAAGTGAGATCAATAGCAGTTTATTAGTCATGTGTGTTCAGATAGGGGAGAATGTGAGGAGAATATACCATATAACATGTAAGGCCATATGAGGGTTGCACCCAGGAAAAGAGTGACTAGTCAAGGGCTGTGGGAGGCAGGCTTTGTAGAGTCAAGAGGGTGGGATGCCCTCTGGTTTCCACAGGACATATGTGATTGACATGTTTGAATAATTCCACAGGCTGGCAGGACACTGAAACTCACCACTCATGGCTAAGCAGGAACTGTGCCTGCCACCATAATAAGGAAAATGATTTATATGGGGTAACATCCCCAAAAGTGAGGGGACTCAAAGTGATGCCATTTGAGACCCTTCTTTTTTCACCAGATGTCAAGGCAGCACATAATATTAAACCGTAAGTTTAGGCCTTCTATCATAGACTCCTGCAGCAAACATCATCTGGACCCAGAATAAAAGGCTTACTAGGTGTCATCAGAGTGACGTGCATGGAATAAGAGACATGGCATTCTATTTGAAGCAAATTGCAATGCTGAAGGCAAGTTTCTTCCATGCACAATGCATGAAAGATCTGAACACATTTGTTGCTGGAGCATCAACTGCAGAAGGTGGTAGGAAGTAAAGCTAGAGAGATAGAAGATGATCCCAGAGTCACATAAGCCAGAGAAAGAGGTAGAACACTATTACAATATTCCCGTGCTAAAAGACTTCTAAAAATTATTAGAAGTCCTATAATTCAGAGAAAGAAATATGCTAAATAAGTTTCACTAATGTGTTTATTATATGATATTTTGATATCCAACTGATGTGCATTTGTAAACCTTCAGGCATCACTGCCTAATCTTCTTGAACCTGGGGACACTGGTCTTTTAGAATTTTTTTTTCCAGAACATCAATTAATTGTTCCAGGAAACAAAGTTTTAAAATTACTGTTAGAGGTAATGAGGGAATCATTAAAATATTTCAAGCTGGGAGTGACATTGTCCTATTTGTATTTTAAATTAAACATTCTGGTGGATGTGTAGAAGATGGGTTTGAAGGTATTAAAATTTGAGCAGCTAGTGAATCCAGTTAGGAGGTTGTGGAAGCAATCCAGAAAAGCAATTACGAATAGAATTAAGATAATAGAGTCAGGAAAATTAAAAATCTGAAAGAAGTTTTATGTATTAGATGAGTTTGATGTATTAGTCAGTGGGAGAGCTAGGTCATGTTCAAGGACATCCCACAACAACCATTCTATCTTGTTTGCAGAACATGTCTATCTTGAGTTGATGGGAAGGGTCTGCTCCACAGAATATCTCAGCAGTGCAGTTAGAAGTCCTGTCACCTTAAATCAGCACAATCTGGAAAAAAAAATATTCTGAGTCATTATAGCAAGAGGATGACCATGGAGATTCATGGGTCTGAAGTAAACTTGCCACTATTACAGACCACTAACTAGAATGAGTCTCATTTCCTGCCTAATTTCAAGAGGTTTGGAGTGATCTTCCATATGTCCAGGAAGGGGAAAACCTCTAAGAGTAAAACCTTACACAGTAAGTGAGAAGAAAGAATTAAAAATGCCTGCTATGAATGATTAGTGCCCTGAACTCAGAGCAAAGAGGGTTGGGTACTAGAACAGGGACAAAATGCTTGAAGGATAAACTAATATTTTTGAACATTTTTAGTTTTTATGTACCAAGTTAATTTTCTTTAGAAGATGACAGGCTATTGGAAATTTTAAATCTAAATCTAAAAGAAGAATTCTGTCTAGGAGATAAGACTTAGAAATCATTAATAATTAAAATAAAAACAGGAAGTACTATCCAAGAAGAATAAAATATTCCCTAAGGAACATCAGCATTTTTAATTTGAGAGAAAATTCTAAGAGGAGGAGAGAAAACTGTCAGAGAGACAAGAAGAGAACCCAGACATGTGCATTCAAAAAAATGGCATGAAGTAAGAGTTTCCAAAAGAAAAGTGACCAGTAACAACAAACATTGATTTGGCAGTTAAGACACCATTGATGATTTTATTTTATTTTTTTTATTGGTTGTTCAAAACATTACAAAGCTCATGGCATATCATCTTCCATACATTTGATTCAAAAAATGGGAGTTCATAATCCATTGATGATTTTAGCATTAAGAAGTGCATGGGAGGTGTGTTAGCTTTCCATTGCTGTGTCCAAGATACCTGAAAATAACAACTTAGAGGAGGTAAAGTTTATTTGGGGTTCATGGTTTCAGAGATTCAGTCCATAGCTATAGACTCCATTGCTCTGGGTCTGAGGTAAAGCAGAACATCATGGAGGATAGGCATGGCAGAGGAAAGCTGTTTAGTTCATGGTATCAAGGAAGCAGAAAGACACAGGACCCAGAGACAAAATATGATCCCCAAGGACAACCCCCAATGATCTACTTCTTCCAGCCATGCCCTAATATTCAGGTATCCATTCAAATTAATAATCCATCAAATAAATAAATCCATTGATTAGGTGATAGTTCTCATAATCTGATAATTTCACCACTTCACATTCCTACATTATCTAACTCATGAGTTGCTTTTGTTTGGGGTGGAGGGGCTCCAAACCACTACAGAAAGTGTAGGGACACAAACAAGGCTGACATGTTTTGATAGGGTCATGAGAAATTGGCAGAGAAAAAGAGACTCAAGTTTAATTCTCAAACTTCTTCCTCATCTCTCACAGGTCCATTTATTCAACTAATATTTCATAAGAATTTATTAGGATACAAATAAGAGAGATGAGCTTTCTTCTCTTGGGATTTTTTTCCAGTAGACAAATGCTATATTTCCTTCTCAGTATTCCTGAAGCACTTGTACATTCACCTTTATTTTAGCACTTTCATATCTTAGTGTATGTATTTATTTCTTTATCCTCTTCTAAATAATGAATTCTTTCTGAATAAAGTCAGGATAAGGACTTATTTGAGCTATCACCTTGCCTAGACATGGTAGGCATGCTATTGAGTAATTTAATCCTCAAAACTCTGAACTAGCTATGATTAGCCTCATTTAATAGAGGAGACAGCTGAAAATCAGGATGAATATATCTTACCAAAGGTCATAGATGGCAGAACTGAGCGCAGAATCCAGGCCTTGGATTCCTTGTGTGTTTCTCTCCATCATACAATAACTACATTGACATTTTTCTCTTCTGTGGTAATGGATTCAAAATGACTTGTGTATTGCTTTACAAATTCCTCATTGTATTGAATATTATAGATTAACCATGTAATCTTAGATGTGGTTAGGTCAAGAGATCAGAATCAGTCAGCCAACTTCTATAATAACAAAAATGCATAATCTTGACTGAGCTGGGTCTACCACTCAAGATACCATTATTTACTGCAGTAAGTACTCTTTAGTATTGAACATATTCTCTTCTACTATAATATATTGTTCTGTGTTAAATCTAAATATACTATTCTATAGGAAGTATAGTAAGTTTAATTACATGAAATGGCTATTTTACAGCAGTAAAAAGCCTTCCAACAAAGAAAAGAGCAGGACCAAATGGATTCTCAAATGAGTTCTTACAGACCCTTAAAGAGGAACTAACACCAATCTTTCTCAAATCATTTCGTGAAATTAAAAGGAACGCTCCATGAATCTAGTATAACCTGATATCAAAACCAGACAAAGACATATCAAGGAAAGAAAACTATACACAAATATCCCATATGAACACAGATGTAAAAATCCTCAATAAATCATTAGCAAACTATTTTCAAAAACACATGAAGAAAATAATACATCATGATCAAATGGGTTCTATCCCAGAGATGCAGGGTTGGTTCATCATAAACAAATCAATAAATGTAATTCAACACATAAATAGAATTAAGGACAAGATTAATATGATCATCTCAATAGATGCAGAAAAGGCCTTTGATAAAATCAAGCCCCCATTAATTTTAAAAATGAATTGATTATCTATGATATCCAGGCACAGTGGTGCATGAATATGATTTTTCTCTTCTGTGGCAATGGATTCAAAATGATTTGTGTATTGCTTTTTAAAATCAAAGAAA